AGGTAATACTAATAGCCAACATCAATTTTTTACCAACATTAGCCTGATTATTCCCGTTATTCTAACCTTGATTAGAAGATTCAATCCTTTGCATAATTCTTATAGGGGGCTAACTACTCTGACTAACATTATTAGCATCAATAAATGGAGAAGGACTAGGAACGTATCCGTTGGATGATCCTGGCATCAATAGGGCGTCATTCACAACAATGGTAATGATCAACTTGATCACGTCTAACATGTGATGTAGTTGAGACTGTTTTGGAATTTGGAGCAAGATCTCTTAACTGCTCTTTAGTGTAATACATTAGAAGATCAACTTGCTCATGTCGATTATCTTCTGCCACTCTCCTAGCGGCTAAAGTATCTCGACCATCTCATTATCAATTTGTGGTAATAAGTTATTGTTTCTAGTAGCATTAGACTCTTGTTATGTTTTAGGGTTAATACTACGAAAAATCCCAAACTGATATACCTGTGACAAATTTACCCCAAACTAATATTTTTACCATAAAAACCTCAAATTGGTACACCCGTAACAAATTTACCCCAAACTAATTTTTTGACCACCAAAAATCATATACTAGTACATTTGTGACAAATTTACCCTTCATTAAATTAAATTAATACAAAAACATCACAATCTAGTACACCTATGACAAACGAAGGGTAAAATCCAAAAATCGGTACATTCGTTAACTGTCATGTGTCATTTAACTAAATAATTTGACAGTAAAATTTAATGGAAACTAATGGAGGGTAAATTTATCACAAGTATACCAGTTTGGGGTTTTCGATAGTCAAAAAATTAGTTTAGAGTAAATCTGTCACATGTGTACTAGTTTAGAGTTTTTCGTGGTAATAACCCTAAGTTCTAACTCTTGTCATTGTAGTCTCCTTAAATTAACAAAATGTGTTTGACTGAACATGCCAAAAAGATGTTCCACAAAAATTTATGAAATATCCTTTAAATATAGGGAAAACACCACCAAAAACCCCAAACTTTGCCATCTGTGACACATTTACCCCAAACTTTTTTTGTGACACCAAAAACCCCGAACTTTGCTTTTTGTGACACATTTACCCCAATGTATTTAGTCCATGGGCATTTTCGTCTTTTTTGCTTTTTCTTTTGTTTTTTTTTTTTTTCCTTTCCGTGAGGTCGCCCATCGCCGGATCCGCGAGGGGCCCTCGCCCGACTCAGCGAGGTCGACCCTCGCCGGCGTCGGCAAGGGTCGACCTCGCTGAGCCGGGCGAGGCCGCCTCGCTCGCCCGGGCGAGGCGACCCTCGCCGGCGCCGGGCGAGGTCCGCCTCGCCCGGGCGAGCGAGGGCGGCCCTCGCCCGACGCCGCCGAGGCGGCCCTCGCCGAGATCGGGCCGGGCGACCCTCGCCGGCGTCGAGCGAGGGTCGCCCTCGCCGCTGGCGAGGCCGCCGCTCGCCGGCGTCGGCGAGCGGCCGCCCTCGCTCGCCCGGGCGAGGCGATCTCGCCCGACGCCGGCGAGGGCCGCCGCTCGCTCGGACGCCGGCGATGGTCGACCTTGCCAGATCGGGCGAGGCCGCTCGCCTGTGCGAGCGGCAGACCTCGCCGACGCCGGCGAGGCGCACCTCGCCCGACGCCGGCGAGGCGAACCTCGCCCGACGCCGGCGAGGGCCGCCCTCGCCGGATCTGGCGAGGGCCGCCCTCGCTCGACGCCGGCGAGGGCCCCCCTCGCAGGAAAGGAAAAAAAAAAGAAAAAAAAAAGAAAAAACAAAAAAGACGAAAATGCCCATGGACTAAATACATTGGGGTAAATGTGTCACAAAAAGTAAAGTTCGGGGTTTTTGGTGTCACAAAAAAAAGTTCGGGTAAATGTGTCACAGATGGCAAAGTTTGGGGTTTTTGGTGGTTTTTTCCCTTAAATATATGAATGGATGCATTATCATCTCATTATCAGTTTGTGGTAATAAGTTGTTTCTACCATTAGCATTATTGGACTCTTATTGATTTCTAATTCTTGCCATTGTAATCTCCTCGAGTCAACAAAATGTGTTCAACTGAGCATGCCAAAAAGATGTTTCACAAAAAATGATTAAATATCCTTTAAAAATATGAATTAATGATATGACTCGACAAAGGTTGTGAAGGGTCCTTTGTTAATTTTGGACCGAAAAAATAAATGACAAGGAATTTAAAAGTACAACATGGGAACAATCACTGTCTGTGATGTAAAACGCAAGAAAGTAAAAATAAAAAATAAATTTGTGGAAAAACGTTGAGTTATGTGATTGATTGGAGTCATTTACAATGAATAAACTTGGGGTATTTATAACCTCCATTGCTAGTTACATTTGGTGATTATATACAACGGTAATAAATTTGAAATAACAAATAACTTCTCAATCCTATTGGCGGTTACAAGAAGGGGAAAACTGTCCAAAAAGTCCTAAACCTATTGCACTTTTACCAATTCAGTCATAAACCTTTTAACTTTACCAATAGAGTCCTAAACATTATCATTTCTTGCCAATTGAGTCCATCTAACCAATTTTGGCCGGAAATCGCTCGATGTGGATGCCAGATAGCCACGTGGCACTGACGTTGACATTTTTATATAATATTTTAATAATTTCTGAACATTTTTATGTTTTTTTTCTTCTTTTTTTCCGTTTTTCTTTTTTTCTGGATTTTGAAGTTAGAGCCGGCGAGGGTGGCCGTTTGACCCTCACCGGCTCTAGGCAAGGGCCGGCCGACCCTGCTGGCTCTGGGCGAGGGCAGTGACGCCCTCATCGGCCAAGCAAGGGCGCGCGAGCTCTTGCCCAGATTTGGCTAGGAGAGGGCTTGGCGGCCCTCGCTGGCCCCAAGCAAGGCGCTTGGCGGCCTCATCGGCCCCACGCCCTCGCATGGGGCTGGCGAGGGCCTTGCCTAGCCAGATATGGGTGAGGCCGTTGCGGCCCTCGCCGGATCTGGGTGAGGGCTCGCGTGCTCTCTCTTGGTCAGCCACTCTCGCCAACCCTAGCTTTAAAATCCAGCGAAAAAAAACATTAAAAAGTTTAGAAACTATTAAAATATTATATAAAAATGTCTACGTCAGCGCCACGTGGCCACCCAGCGTCCACGTCAGCGATTTTTTGGCCAAAATTGATTGAATGGACTCAATTGGCAAGAAAGGTTTAAGACTAAATTGGCAAAAGTGCAATATGTTTAGGACTTTTTGGACAATTTTCCTTTACTAGAAGTTACTCTGCAATCTCCTATTACTAAGCAACATTTATCTACAAGAAAATATTGCTACATGGTAATTACATACCGGTGTTAACGACTTCATCCCCGATGAAGGTTCTCGTCAATAACTAATCTTTGTTGTCGATAACTTTATTGGACAGTTATCAATTCTCTTCGAGTTGTCGACTGTTCCAACCAATGTGTCTTTGTCAACTCAATTTGTTACTTGTCGATAATAACAAAAAGTTGCTCGTATTTAAGTGTTGACAATTATATTATAAGATGTTGCAAAATTTGCTCAGCAATTGACGTGAAATAATTAGAATCCATATGGGTGCGCAACCAATAAAATATGATTTTCAGATACGCATGAAAGAGGAGACATGCTTAGAGTGAGTAGTAGCACTTGAGAACAATGTGAGGATAGAGGACGAGAGCATCGAGATTGTCACGCCGGAGGACATCATTGTGGAGCGACAATGACGAACCGAATGGCAATAAGTAGTAGCACTTAAGGGCAACGTGAGGGGAAAATTGTTCAAAAAGTTTTAAACATATTGTACTTTTGTCAATTTTGTTTTAAACATTTCAATCGTGTCAATTGAGTTCTAAACTTTTTAAGAATTTGCCAATGTAGTCCATCAGGCCAATTTTGACTGAAAATCAGTAATGTGGATGTTGATCGTCCTACGTGGCATGGCCGGCACTAACATTGACAAATTTTATTATATTTTCAATTTTTTTATTTTAATTTATTTTTTCTTTTCTTTTCTTTCTTTTTTTTTCTCCTTCTTCCTTTGCCTGTTGCCCAATCTCAATGGTCGGCAACCGGCCAAAGGCTATAACCAACGAGGGCAAGCCTCGCCCAAGGCTGGCAAGATCGTCCCTCGCCAAATCCCAGGCCCTCACCAATCCCAGCAAGGTTGACCCTCGCTGGCCTTTAGTGAGGCTTGACCTCGTTGGATTTGGTGAGGGCGACCTCACCTCCTCGCCCCTTGCCAGATCCTAACGAGAGTGATCTAGCTCAAGGTCGGTGAGGGTGAACCTCACAGGTTGTAGCCTCTGACTGGTCTCCAGCCATCGCTGAGGCTGAGCAATCAGCAGAAAAAGAAGGAGAAAAAAAAAAGAAATTAAAAATTAATAAAATTTATCTACGTCAGCACCGGCTGTGTCACGAAGGATGGTCGGCATCCACATCAGTGATTTCCGGCCAAACTTAGCCGAATGGACTACATTTGCAAATTCTTATTCTTAAAAGATTTAAGACTCAATTAGCACAGTTGAAAAGTTTAGGACTGAAATGGCAAAAATGCAATAGATTTAAGATTTTAAGTACAATTTTCTAGCAACGTGAGGGTGGGATGAGAGCATCGGAATAATCAGACCGAAGGATCTAGGTGAGATCATGGGGGAGCGAGGATGGCGAATTGACGGAAGGAGATCCTAAATTGAAATCACTAAGAAAATATGATGCACGAGAAAATTGAGATTGAGATATAGTACCATCTTATGTTACATACGTAAAAATCGATACAACGGGTATGTGTACATGTGAATACATCTTGAAATTCTTGTGATTAATGGACTAATAATAAATTGGAAAATCGAGGTAACCAATGAAGCTGAAGCCCAAAAGCCAAAGAGACAAAATCAAGCTAATTGGATCATTCTAACCACGATTGCAACTAAGGCAATCCTTCGATTAATGAAATAAAAAAATTAATTTTTTCCATTTTGCTACAATGTCTAAAACCCTCCTCCCATCAAGCACGTATCACGCAGTACACTACACACCCATCGAATTTGTATTTATAAATGCAAAATCTTCCCATGATCATATGGACTAATTAACAATATGCTTGCCCAATGCCTCAAGTGCTACGTCGACAGCGTCGCGAAACCCTAATGTTGTGCCATTAGGATGTGCGTACGTGACTCTAGGGATCAAACCTATGACTTTGGACCTCATCTTCTCTCTTCTCTCCGTTGTTATCTTCATAAGCTCATCCTCTATCTTCTTCATCTTCTTCGGAGTCAAGCCCTCGGCTTCTATGAAGACCGAGTAGGATCTCCAGTCCTGAGGAAGGAACCAGGCGTACTGAGTGTAGCAGGTGTGGCGCGAGAAGAACACGGGGATGCAGCCCGCCAGCACCGCGTCGAAGGTCGACCGCCGAGTGAACGAGTCACCTGGAGTTTGCAGGCAGAACTCGGACCTCGTCATGACCCCGAGCACCTTCTCCGGGTTGTGGCACTTGCTCCCGTTGGCCGCACAGTTCACTAGCTCGCATCGGGGCGATGCCCCGCATTGCCTCATCATCTCGTTCCTTATGGCGGCGTTGGCTCCCCCGCCCGTCCGAGCCCCGCCTATGAAGGAGAACAAGTAGGGCCGCTTCGAGCGCTGCATCTTGTCCTGCCATGTCAGCATTTCGCCCCAGGTGGTGGGGTGAAAGTACGATGGGTAGGGAAGCCCATGATGGTTCATCCCGGTCCACGGCTGGCGCTCCACCACGAGCACCGACATGTTCTTGACAGCCGGCATGTCGAGAAGCGCATTGGCCCCAAAGTCCGGGCCTCCGTTCGATTCACGCAAGAAGTCCCACGCAGTCCTCCCAAGGGTGATGAAGTGATCCCTCCCGTGACGCCGCTGCCACCATGGCGATAATCTGACGACGAGCTCCACCATCCGCAAGGCCAGCACATCCCTCACCACAGGATCGGGCTCACGGTACCGGCTCGACATGTGGAGCCCCCCATAGAAGGGGACATAGAAGAGGCCAGCGCGGGAGGGGTCGCGGGTGCGGCACGGATGGCTCTCGAGGCGCGCGTGGAAGAGCATCTCTGAAGTGAACTGGTTGGTGGCGAACCAGCCACGGCCCAAGGAAGGGAGGGGCTGGCCGAGGCCACGGTTAGCCACGTGCGGGCACATGTTGGTGAACCGGTTCAGGTGCTGGCAGTCCTCGAGGAGCCCGAGGTTGAACTCGGGCGGCAGGTCGTAGATGTAGACCAAGACCCCTGTGCGGCACGCTGCGGGAGGCGTCGAGACGGCAACAACGTTGTGATTAGTGCTCTGGGTGGTGGTGGAGAGCGGCTGCTTCCCGATCCGAAAGGAGAAGAGGAAAGAAGAGAACCAGAAGAGGATGAAGAGGAAGAGGGAGAGGGTGACGCAACTGTATCTGTGGTTGATGACGGTGGACTTGAGATTGTGGAACTGTTTGCTGTTCAAGAACTTGCTGTGCTTCTTGGTCAACATGGCTGGAGCCGCTAGAGAAAGAGAGAGCGGGGTGGGGTGTGGGTTGTTATGGAGGAGGAGGCGTGAGAGAACAGAAAACAGGAAGGTGGTAATAAGCGCAAGAAAACAGAGGAGAGTCAACTGCGAATTGAAGAGCAGAACTGGGGATCACACTATTCGACCATGAGAAAGTGCGAGACGTTGCTTCCAACCTGCGACTTTGACGAAAACCCAGAGAGAGAGAGAGAGAGAGAAGACATGACAGAAAAATAAATTAGGGGCTATTGTTATATTCTCTTAATGAAAATACGAGGTAATTTTGATAGAAAATCCTGAATATTCTTATATTGATCTTATCATATTGGTATAATACGATACACCATTCAGAAGATCGATAAGCGCATAGCTATACATATTGATCATATCATGTTTGAACCAATCATACATTTGTGTACATTTCCCAACACTTCGAGTGGCATACGCTTTTAAGTCTGATAGTATTTCCGGGCATAATTTGCTCATTCAGCCGTGTACCACCAATTTCCAAGTAAATTGCATAAAAGTTACCAGTAAATTGAATGTGCCATAAGCTAAGAAAAGGCTGTGAAAGTGTGAATACACTTTTGATGTTCTTGCTGACCATTTTAGCCTGTGCATTCTTCGAGTAATCCGTCCCAGTACATGATGAGGTAAATTCAATCACATGCTCCAAGTAATAACTAGGCGAAGATCAATCTGATGATATAACTACTCATTACTTTTTATGTCCTCTAAATCGAACGATCACTTCAAATTCAGCGCACGTCAATGTGTGGAGAACCACGTTCAGTTATTGCAATAGGAGAACAGGGAAAATCAGTTGTCTTGGCATTGTCACTGAAGTATACCTCCCCCAGCAAGATTCAGCCAATATCTTCCTCTGTTTTAGAACTATCCGTAGTAATCAATCAATTGATGAAGCAGTGTCTCGTAATCCTTCCAACTGGGTGGGGCTCTATTTATGTCAACCGACAATAATTGCCAATAAAGAATCAAATTTCCTTATTCTCCCCAATTTAATATGCGGTATGTTTGGTAGGATGCTTGGGTCAGGATTAAAATTCCCAACAAAGGATTCGTTGGAATGTCAAAGGTTGACGTGTCTAGGCTCATTCAGGTGTAGAAAGTGAATGAATTTTTTGGTATGGATTTAGACAATGAACAACTATGATGGGATGTATGCAAACTTTACTTGTATGTACCACGCTTTGTTAGGCAATTTTTGCACATCTATGCTCAGATTTTTTTCCAAATACACATTAATATGTATTGAGATACAAAATGCCTAATTTATGTTAGGGTACCCTCTTTTGTTTTTCATTTTCCTTTCCCTTTCCTGCCACAGTGCATACCTAATCTCGCATTTAACAAAGACAGTACAAGCTTCCACAACTTCGTCGCCTTATGATGTACGTGCTTCGAAGGCAGCATTCTCATAATCATTAGTATCTTCATTTCCCTACCTTCCCTTTTCGAATCTACATATCCCATCTGTCGTTAGTTTTTACCATGGACAATATAGACGACCTGGCTTATTCTAATTTCTAGTTAAGAAACAAAAGATCTCTTTCACAACCTTTTTTTAAGCAGCTCGTGCATGCAAGTATGGTGGCATGGCCATTGACCAAAAGCAAGCTCAATTGGCATCATGCCCAAAGATTATATCATGGGAACTCATTTGCCATATTGATATAAATTTTAACTGTGTATTACTTGAAAATCGACGAATTTTTAATAGGAAAATATCGGGAAAAGTGCCAAAAAAGTCCTAAACATTTTGCATTAGTGCCAATTTAGTCCTAAACCTTTCTTTGGTACCAATTCAGTCTTAAACCTTTTGCATTGGTGCCAATTTAGTCCTAAATCTTTTTTTTGTGCCAATTAAGTCCTAAACCTTTTAAATTGGTGCCAATTCAGTCCTAAACCTTTTGTTTTTGTGCCAATTTAGTCCTTCCGGCCAATTTTGATCGGAATTTGCCGACGTGGACGCCTTCCGGCCGGCAGTCGGTCACTGGCACCGACGTGGCGCCGACGTGGACAACTTTAATAATATTTTAATTTTTTTTTGAATTTTTATTTTTTTTTCCTTTTTTTTTTCCACTTTTTTTTTTTTGGTCTCTCTCCCTCCTTCCTCTGGCCGGTCACCGATCCGGCAACCGGCCAGAGGCCAGAGGCCGGCGAGCTCGACCTCGCTGGCCACTGGCGAGGGTGGCCTCGCCGCGGCCTCCCGGCGAGGTCGCCGGGCGAGGCTTGAGCCCTCGCCGGAGGCCGCGGCGAGGGCGAGCCTCGCCATGGTCGGGCGAGGCCCGACCTCACCGGATCCGGCGAGGTCGGGCCTCGCCTGCCGACCTCGCCGGATCCGGGCGAGGTCGGGCCTTGCTGGCCGACCTCGCCGGATCTGGCGAGGTCGAGCCTCACTCGACCAAGGTGAGGCTCGCCCTCGCCGCGGCCTCCAGTGAGGTCGCCGGGCGAGGCCCGACCTCGCCAGATCCGGCGAGGTCGGGCCACACCCGACCATGGCGAGGCTCGCCCGAGCCGCGACCTCCGGCAAGGGCTCGAGCCTCGCCCGACCAAGGCGAGGCTCGCCCTCGCCGCGGCCTCCGGCGAGGTCGCTGGGCGAGGCTCGACCTCACCAGATCCGTCGAGGTCGGGCCTCGCCTGACCATGGCGAGGCTCGCCCGACCATGGTGAGGCTCGCCCTCGCCACGGCCTCCGGCGAGGGCTCAAGCCTCGCCCAGCGACCTCGTCGGCCTCTGGCCGGTCGCCGGACCGGCGACCGGCCAGAGGAAGGAGGGAGAGAGACCAAAAAAAAAAAAGTGGAAAAAAAAAGAAAAAAAGGAAAAAAAATAAAAATTCAAAAAAATATTAAAATATTATTAAAGTTGTCCACGTCTGCGCCGGTGACCGGCCTCCGGCCGGCAGGCATCCACGTCGGCAAATATTTTGGACCCGATCACCAGCACGCTCTTCTCAGATGAAGAGTAAATGAAGCACGCACTCGTGCGAGGAAAGAAATGCAACACAAAATTGTGCATGTCTTCGTGAATATAAGAGAAACTGGTGAAAAACTTGGCTTTACAAAAAGGGAACTTGGGTTAATTATCAAAAAATAAAAGCCTTAAATCTATTATATGAATGTCAATTTAATCATAAATTTTTTAATTTGTGCAATTTAGTTCTAAATCTTTTGACGATTTGTCAATATAATATTTCCAATCAATTTTGGCCGAAAATCATTGACATGGACGCCGATCGTCTTACATATCACGGCCGACGCTAATGTAGATAATTTTTACTTTTTAAAAAAAATTTCTAATTTCTTTTATTTTCTTTTTTCTTTCTTTTTTCTTATTTCACCATGGGTCGACAACTCTGCCAGATCTGGACTAGGCGAAGGCGTCATGGCCCTTGCGCAGCCGTCAACCACCGTTCAAGCCACTAACCAGCGGAAGGAAATAAGAAAAAACAAAAAGTAAAAAAAAATGGCAAAAAATTATTAATGTCAACAGCTGCGCCATGTAAGACATCCATTGTACACATCAGCAATTTCCAGCCAAAAGTGACTGAGAACGACTATACTAGTAAATCGTCAAAAGATTTATGACTAAATTGGCCAAATTGAAAAATTTAGAATTGAATTGGCCATTGTACAATAAATTGCAAACTTTTTTTTGGTAATTATCACCTTGGAAATTGAAGGCTCCTTAATAGAAACAAAGGACAAATCGTCCTATACAACCGTACAAATAATATAAGACCTGAACGACACATACTACAATTATCTCATTCATCTTCACAATTGTCATTAGCTTTAACCTCAGCCCACTATATTGGTCCGACCAAATACATCTCCAGATGCGGCAAATGGTTAAAAACTTAATAGAGTGATTTCCTAGTGTTACTGCTCTTAAGGATCAGCTTCTGCAACACTAGACTGAGTCAATTTCTTCGATCCTATCAAAAATAGATCAAAATACATCCAAACGAAGGTTTCACAAGGAATTCATCTGCTTCAAGTGATTAGACATGCAACGTCGTAGATTAAACAGAGGCTTCATACATATATGTTTATCTAGGCATGCAATAAGTGGGGAATGAAATCACCTCATGATTATTTGAAGCCGAAGAGACAAGATGAAGCAGAACACAAAAAGAATGCATACAAAGCAACACAGAAGGCAGGAATGAAGCTTTGGAGACGAACTGGAAGTCAAGGGTTCCCATCAATGTAAATTTGCCTCAAACTGTACGATTGAGTATGACCAAAGGCAAAGAAGAGTAAGCGACCTTATTTATGGACAATAAACTGAGACTAGGTAGATGACAAGGCGATAAGAGATGGCCCTCAGAACAAATGAAACCATTCATGACATAAAAACAAACCACACCAAAACTATGAACTTGCCTTCAGTAACTTCCCGAAACAGACCAATCAACGCGATTGCAGGATGAATTGCAAATACATAATAGAAGTTGAGCACGATGTGACAGATACTCTTAAAAGACATAATCTGGAAGCTCAACAGGAAATTGTGCCACTTGAACTGAAAAGGGGCCGCCCTTTGGATCTGCCAGCCTGGAATAATACAACGTAGAAATGATTCCAATTAGTCCTCACTAGCGTCATCAAAGAGGAAAATAAAATTTTCACTAAAACTTCTCTGCCCAGCATATCTTGATTCACTTTATCAAACTACAAAACAGAGTGATGGTATTGGTTACCTAGAGTCGAACCGAGACACTGGACCGATTCATTCACCAGTCCGATTTTAAAGACATTCGTTGAAGAATAGCAGATTTAACTTAGAAAACTGGGTTTTAATAGTATACCTTCCGGGCACAAAGGTGAAAGTGCCTTCAATAGATCCCCTGGGAGATCCTAAAGACGTGCAACTCTCGTAAACAAACTCTTTGCCACCCGAATGCAAGAGAGGGAACTGCAATATATATCAAGATATTCAGATCCCAAATAGTCCTCACGAAAAGATTCTGATAAATGAACATTTTGATGATGATCAACACAAACAAGATTCTCATAGAGAATTTCACAAGAAACTCCTACTTGTACGCGTCAAAAAGTCATGGCCAGTTTCCAAACAGGCAAAACGCCATAATATATAACTAGTTCGACAACCGTCCAAGCAAGGCAAAAAGAGAGAGAGAAGTCTGAGAGCTAGGCAAGGATGGCCATACTTTGTAAATCCAAAGGAATTTCTTTGCTTTCTGTTTTCAGCTGGATATCAGTACTCGCAAAGGAATTTGCTTAACTTTTATAGCATCAACCAATACAATAACCTATTTCATATATGCTCCAATGAATGAAGACCAAACAAAGCCACTCAGGAACCCAGACAACTAACAAAACTATAAATCCTTACATAGCCAATTGGGGGTTTAAAATGATAAACCTTGAGGAAAACTACCTCACAGCAAAACCATCCGTGCATGTTAGACACATGAGAAGATGCATGTTATATCTACAGAAGATACAAAACATGAGGAAAATTCCACACAGATCACATCCTACCTTTCCAATGACAGCCTCCCCATTGACATCTGAGACTACAGCATCATTGGCACGGATAATCCAGTGCCTCCAATTCAATTGGCAAAAGTCGTAGGGCAGTCCATTGGACATGCATCCCTCGGGAACGAGTGACATCCGGATTGAATATGAAAAAAAATATTTTTCAGATTCATTTTGGAGATCAGCGAACTCCGGAACAAAGACAGCAGAAGATCGAATCTAGAAATTTGAAAAAAAAAAAAAAGGATGTCAATGTGAATTTCAAAAAGGAGATCAATATAATATGAGCCCCCAAAGTGCTGGCATCGCAGGACAGATAATCAGATGACACATGGCAAAATACAGATCATTTCTACAAAATTAGGCACACTAGTCAACAGAAGGATATAATCTAATCCAACTTTTTTTCAAGCAATTTAAGAGAAAATAATCATCAGAAATTCACTGATCAACAAAAAAGAAAGTGCACATATCAAGAAATAATCATATTAGACTATCTTGAACATATGGAAAAGATGAATTGGCTAGATTGACAAACTAGACACACTTCTGTAAATTAATCAATCGTTGGCTATTTTCCTTCTCCAAATACTCTCCCTCAATCACATAGATACATCTGTATAATTGCATTTTTCAATCGAGTTTGCATTTAACTTTAAAGAACCAAAGTTACAGTTCTGTGTTCTAAGCATTTTCAGATGCTAAATATTGAAGCAACTTTTGTTAGTGGATAGCTCATATAACGGTTTTGTGTAGGTCAGTCAAAACGAAATATAGCAATACTTAGGACATCAAATGCCAAATATAAAGAAAGAATCCATCCCTTACAATTTCAACAAAGGCACAAGTCTCTGCTTTGGAATCCTTGTCATCTTTCACCTCCCTCATCTTTGAATCTTTTATGAATTATGTTGAAAAGTCAAATTTCAAGATACAAGGGCATTATCACCTTAATGACTATGTAGGTCAGAAACTTCTTATAATTTACTCCGAATCTGGAAGAACAATCCATCAAGTTTTCGGCAATGTTGAGGGACTTATTTTAGGTCTCTAAAACCTCTAGAAGACTTTTTATGCCACGGGACTCCAAAAAAAATTAGTTCCATATTAGCATAAAAATTGGTATAATTTGTGTATTATGGCAGTTAAACAAATGTTGCCGCTGAAAAAAACAGAAGATGGACAGATTGGTACTGCTAAAATAAATAGTTATCGGCATGAGCATGAAAAGATAGTTATTGGCCACATATCATAGGAGTTACACATGTGTTGCAGCCGAAAAAGTATAAAAAGGCAGGCAAGGAGACTGACTCGCTTACCCGGACACCATTAGTTATGGCAGTGGAACAGAGTGGAGGTTCCTCCGGAAACTGACAGATACTTCTGATGCCTCCTCCTTCACGAAGTTTGATCATGCCACTTTGCAAGCGACGACCATGTTCCTCTAACCAAAGTAGCATGGCATCCTGCTGCAGATCAGCATTTCTATCATGCACCGAACTTATCAATGCATTTGGAACACATGGCATCATTTCTCCATCAATGGGAAGATTCCTAGTGCCAACATGAAGTTGACCATCTATACAGTTGAGGAAAAACAGCTTCTCTCCAGATGTGCAAGAAGCAGCCACGACTACGTAGTTGGATCTGCTCGAAAATCCAAGGTGCCGTATGATATGATTCGTCTCCAGAATCACCAGTTTTAAAGGTAACAAGTTCACATTTACCAAGTGATTATAGAAAGAATATCCGCCAATGATGCCCAGGGAACCGCCAAGCGTACTACTTGTGAAATCGCTGTCGGCAAAATCTTGACCATCATGAAAACGATAGAGTATCCTCGTCGGGAGAGGTAACTTTACTCTTAACACGCTCTCCAACTCTTGAATATCAGCTTCGGACGCGCCCTTTCTGAGAGTGGCCGCAGCCTCGGGGAAATTCGTCAACAGCCATCCCTGCAGCCCGTCCCAACATCTCTTTACTCGCCTGACAAGGGGCCAAGGATACATGCAGAAAGCGTCCCTCCATTTTTGATAAGCCGCCTAGGTACGGGCATCACATTTAAAAGACAAGCATAGTCAAGTCTCAATCACAAAAATCGCAAATCAGACAACCTCGGTGGCTTCACGATCATGTAAAGGCCAAGCACACTAAAAACCAAATGCGTTCCGATCGCACGCACGGCCTGCAAAGAGAAATTACTAGGTTCCCCTCCGCGCCTCCAATTTCCCAGCGAATTGGAAACTACCCCCCAACACTAATATCCACACGGTATCGAAGCTATCGAATTCGAACCGCTAAGCCCTCCATTTGCCTTCAAAACTCGAACGACATCGTAAACAGGAGCCAATGTCGGAGCAATAAAGAACAACCCGGCGCTTCCAAACACAAAGAATTAAGCTTCTGACGGTTTGGCGATCACAAAAATCACAAATTTCTCGATCGCAACAACAACAACATCGCACAGCACCAGAATCACGCACAGCACATACCGAGGGCGTACGACACCACAGTGGACAATTCGAATTCGACGAAATGAAGCTCTCGAGGGAGAAGAAGAAGAAGGAGGAGGAGGGAGGGAGGGAGGAAAGAGAGACCTTGAAAGAAGGGAGAGGATCGCCGTGAGGATCGAGAGGAGCGGAGAGATCGAGCTCCTGGGAGCAGAATCTGGACCAGAGGGTATCCTCCGCGGCGGAGAGCCGGAGCTTCCGGTTCACGCAGGCGACCCTGCCGACGTCCTCGGGCCCCAACTTCGTGAGGATCACGTGCAGGGCCAAATCGCCCACCGACTCCAGCTCCATCTTCTTCTTCTTCTTCTTCTTCCTCGCCGCCTCTTCCTCGCCGCCCTGAATCCTCCCCTTCTTCTTCTTCCCCCTCTTCTATCCGACGCCTCTCTCCTTCTCTCTCTCTCTCTCTCACTCCTTTCTCTAGAGAGAGAATGGCTATGGCGGTGGGAGCTCAGTAGCCACCACCACCAGCAGGTCACTCCTCAGAGATTTTCTGCGAAAGAGACGAAGGAAATAGTGATCAGGACGCTTCGACTGCTCTTCTCGGTAGGCGTGGGTCCACCCGATCTTTCCTTCTGTAGCATCCGCATATCCTCCACGTGTGCGTTTCGCACGCAAAGAGATGATGACACATGATTATCCATCAACTTTGGGCCAACGCGTCATCTATGAACTTCTAATTTGTTCATTTTTATTCAATTTGATCGCTGAATTTAGATTAAATGTGTAATAAGTTCTCTAAGCTTTTTAATTTGTTCAACGTGATTTTCAAAATTTTGGTATATGTTTAACTCAGTTATTGAATCATATGAAAATGTTCAATGTTGTCCTTTTAGTAACTTAAGTTCAGGGACAATAGGAACGACATTAAATATCTTCATATAGTTCAGGGATTATATTGAAAATGTACCAAAAAGTCTAAAAATTACGTTAAACAAATTGAAAGTTCGAGAACCACATTATGTATTGGGTTACAGTTCATGGACCATATTGCAAAAATTAAAAGTTCATAGACCACATTACATATTGGGCCAAAGTCCATGAACCAATTATGTCATTTGCCCGTTTGCAAACTGACTGATTTGACTCTCCTTTTCACGAATTTTTTTTAGAAAATGATCGTTGCTATCTCTTTTGAATATGAATGAACAAAATTGTTGTCGATAATTAAAATATTTTTCGTCAATTAATTATATCAAGCGATATAATCGATTATTTATTAGAAAATATTTTACCGATCATCCATTTTCCGCGAAACAAACGGAATCCTCGTTACATCTTCATTTGTCCAGTGACTAGGACTCGCACGACCAGGAACATAAAGAACGGTAACAACCTCCGATGAATCGCAGCAACTGGCTAGTCGCTTTGCTTGAACGTTGAGTCCGCATCTATCGCATCGCTTGATATATATTGCCTGTTACTCTCTTGAAGAACACTTGGCAGCAAGAAACTGTCAACATGACCCAGAAGAGTGTGCAAGAAAAATGCCAGACGAAACCGCAGATGCCCAACAAAAGGCCGAAAAGTTGCAGACACTCGCAAGGGATGAGATCAATGGTGGATGCCGACAATGCAGATGGCATGTCACAGACTCCTGAAAGCAACGTTTTCGACCTCAGCGACAAACCGGTTCATCGCGACGGAACCAGATAAGCTCGCATCCCGCAAGCAACTCTGGGCGTAACAAGAGCTGAAAGATGTTTTGAAAACATTCACCAGGGAGAGTATTGACTCATTCATGTCAAACATTACATCATCTCCACACAAGCCGTTCGATTTGTATGGTTTCAGTATACAAAAAATCCTTCATTTTGCTCCATCGAATTCAACAAAGCCCCCCTTCTTCCTGTTAAAAGAGGAACGAAAATAGATACATAAAAACAGTGTGACCCGAAACTTCACAATTTGATAATCGCCCGTGGCTAGCGGCTGCTCCACCTATACCTCAATACCCATGTTGGACTGTATATACACATAACAGGACACTACAGACTAATGGAACTGGCCCCGTTACCGTCTCGACTTTGGCTCCATTGAAGGGACGAGAGGGGAAGACTGGGTGGGTCCATTTCCGAGAGCAGCGGCAGCTGATTCAACATGCGTTAGGAGGTATTCGTAGATCTTCTTTCTCAACCTATCGATGACCTCACCAGAAACGCCCGGTGTTTGTGCTTCCCCTTCATCTGTTTTAGTCGAACCGATCTCATCCAACCAGTCATTGACACTCTTGAGCTGACTCAGCATCCCTGCTATCTGACCATTATCAGACAGAACTGATGCGTCCACGTCAGTATCTAAAAATCTCTCCACGAACCCCAGAAACCAATCTCTTGACTCCACCTTCAGCACCTCGGCCAAGTCGACTGTCTCATCGAGGCCATTCCCTCTTTCCCATTCTAATAAAGGCGGAGCTTGTAATTTCGTGCCATTGGAAGCAGCGTCCCCAACCCGCCGTGAAGTTGCAGGTCCTGCCAGCTTTGCACGGGTTTTGGCCGGTGTTTTGGCGGCATCGTTCTTTCCCGAGCTCCCTAGGAGTACGACAGGTTGTTGGTTTCCAGATGCAACCTTTTGGGTTTGAGCCGGATTCGGACCCAAACTCGAGATAGGTTCTTTAGTATATACACTGAAGGATGAAAGATCTGTGGCTAAAGCTGCTTGTACCCATGAAGCTGCAAGCTTTCGCTTCTCTGCTGTCGTCTTCAGGGCCTCTTCTGGCGGGGTCTCTTCACTAGTGGGAGATGATCCCATCGTGATGGTTTTGGTAAGAGAATCAGCAATGGTGCGAGCATTGTTTAGGTTTGCATGGAGGGTTAAGAATTGCTCCACCGTAGGTTGTGGATTATCCTCTTTTGCATTTGTTGTCAGCTCTGTGTACAGGCTGCCAGAGACACAAACAGGAGATACTAATGAAGACGACAGAAATTAGGGTAAATATATAATCCCTGGAGAAGCAGTTTCTCAGGAGTTGGAAGCCATTAGATTATAGAAAAATAAATCCCGGGCGATCAATAAAAACTTTTCGAGTGTCTTTACGCAATACTTCATATTCGAATTACGACATACGCACTTCATTTTGGAATTAAGACATAATGTACACCATTACAACAAATTACAACTGGAAACCATTCCTCGAGGGACCGTAGAAGGGCCTCAGAAATTGTACATTGGGTTACAGGACAGGGTAACATTGATGAGGAACCAGATCACTACAGAAGAAATTACGGTCAGAAGGTCAAAATTTTCTCTGTCGTACCTGAATAATGCAATCAAACAAACAGAACCGAAGTTTGCATAGTTTAGATAGAGAGATACACAGTAACCTCACTAGCCTTCTCTATGAATTTGACAGCACAATTATGGAAATTAATTTTCCAGTCGGGTTATCAATTGAGATTCACTGACCCTCATCTTTCTAGCAGTATGCAGCCAAATATAGTTTGTCCATGATAAATGCTCGAGCTTACTTTCAGCTTGATTCGTAAGCAACACAATGGACCTCTTGCCCTTTCCAAGTACATCTACATGTAGAAACTTCACTTCTTGAAGAAAGGGTAAGAACCTCTAATCCAGTGATTTCCATGCCCACTTCAAGCCTATTTTGTCTTGTATTTTTTAAGCATTCTTAGCATAAAGGACACCAAGATGAGATTCTCAAAGCCATTACAACTTTATTCCTCATATTTTCCAGATTCTTACAATAACACAAAATCAATACTTCTACATAAGTAGAGCCAGACAAGGGCAGTAATCCTTTGGAAACTTGGGTAGTACAGCCAGGCAAGCACTGGAAATATGGCCAATGTGCTAACAGTTACAATACCACCTTCAGACAACACCCAACTTCTACTATGATTCTACTTCATGATGATATAATGTGATAGGAGATGACCAGTTGAAGGTTCGTTAATCAGGCATTCTAGTCTTCCAACCATGTAATGTTACTGCCGGTGCAGTGGTCTAAAATTGACAAACACAAGAAACAGAGAGCCGTGTCTCGGCCAAAGCTAATGGACGACTGATTTTGCATATCAAAGCCAAAGCTAGAGAAAACTTTTAAAATGCCTTCAAAGATACTCCTACCATACCATGACTCATGTTCACTGAAATCATTTTACCTTAAGCATCGAAGTAAGCTCTCAGCAGCAGAAGCCTCCTGCATAGCCTCTATTGCTGCTACTTGTGCCCCATCCCTATGCTTCATTACCTCCTGAAACAGCAAACACAATGAATTCATTGCACGAGATCAGCAGATATAGGTCTCCGAAGCACTTTATGCAAAGAATCTGATAAACCTCAATCAAGTCTCAAGCTCATGACAATCACATGTTCAGTGGGTGATGCATCAACTAATTTGTATTGTTTGTGTTGCATAAGAAAGGGGAAGTACTAATCAAGCTTAAACAGGGCATTTCATATACAATCAAAACACGCAAAACAAGCCAAACTCCTTGGCAGCTTATATCATCAGATGGGACCTGTCAGCAAGAGGACTCAACTGTGAAGGCATTGTTTCATTGAAGGTGCAGGCATTTTGGTTCTGAGGAGTATTCATGAAGATTGGGAGTACGCTAGCAGCCACTTCAAACTAAAATGACAATAATTTGCACATGACGACCTATTTTCCCTGAATAGACACTCTAATGCTTCACTGAATTTCGATTTCCGCAAACTTCTCCTCCTTATCGCAAAATTTAGTATCAAAGCACGTCTAAAGAATCCAAATAGTCCTCAGACTTGAACATTGATTATTCACTAACAATGCACAACGATTTGACAAATTGAACTTATGAAGTTAAATTGCAGAAACAAAAGCCAAGAAGGTCATGACTGTACCTTCCCAAGCTTCGCAAGAGAAGATGGAAGGGAACCCCATGCAACATTTCCATCTGTCAGTCTCCTGCTATTCAAAGAAACCCTGACAAAGTTCCCTGGTAATCCGTTATTAGATTCCGTCGTTGATTTCCTCACTATTGGTCTTTGCTTAAGAGATTTTCCATGATCGTCCGTTAATCCATTACCACTTCCAGCAACATCTTTTGCTGACATGTGAACAGTGTTTACCTCTTTAGATAACCTTGCAGGCACCACTTTATTTTCGTCTTTTGATGGTAATCTCTCGCTTGAAGTACTTTTCCGCGGAGCCTGAGGGAACGCACAATCAGTTAAATTCACGGTTTAAATGAAATTCACAAACGAGAACTCCAAAAGCATGCAGTTCATTAAACTTACAGAGGCACTCCGAGATTCAGGCTTATGATCATGCTTGGGGGCAGTCAGTTTCGACTTGTCTTTGTTCTTCAGCTCAATGTTGCCTTCCCAGCTCTTCCTTAATGCCTTGGCCCCGTATTCAATCCCTTGGAGCAAATCCTTGATGGGGCTTCCTCGAGGCAACTTCTTCCTAACCGGACTCACACTTCGAACTGAACTGGCCTTCTCCGCTGACCCCAACTTCGCAGCCACCTTCTTCAACCCCTTTATCTCAGCCTGCTGCTTCATCCCATTTGCAAATTTCTCAAAAGAAGTAGGCAATGAGTAACAGCTCGATGGAGAGGAAGGAATCGACCGAGAATTCAATGACTTCATCCTCGCCAGAGATTCCTTCTTCACCTCAACGGTCAACCCCGGTTTCGTTAACTGAGCCTTTGATCTACTGAGCGCCAAGGATCTTTTATCCGATTGCTCATCTCTAGACCCTACACTCAATCTAACCGGTGACATTTTGCCCTTCTCACTGGTTACATTTTTACTAGCAATCAGAACTTTCGAATCAGCAGAAGGTTTCCCTCTCTCCCCATTTTTCGAACTCGAAGAGCTATTGCCATTAAGAAACCCGAGAGAATGAGTTGCCACAATATCCTCAGGGGTGCCCACACAAGGGTGCCGACCCGGAACTGGCCTAACCCCTTTCACAATGGGGACAGGTGAGGCGGGTTCAAGCCTCTCCACATGAATGAACTGACCCAATTGGATCTTATCACTAAGAATGAGGTCATCGTGCTCATCAGGGAGGGACACATATGTGGCGTGAGATGAATCAGAGACCTTGAGGTAAAAGCCTTGGTTTGGGAACAACTCACCAGCAGCAAGTGCAGGGACTATGCTCACCACTTGCAGCAGAGATGATCTGTGCTCGCCCCCAACTTTCACGTCCGTGTTCATGTGCTGTAGAAGCTTGAGGAGGACACCAGGAACGAGATTCGCCATTTTTGGTTGCTTCAGTGACTGTGAGCATCACTCTGAGAAGAGACCCAGAGAAAGAAAATTCAAGATTTTGCGTGCAAGTTCAGGAGATCTAGCGGAACTAGCATCTTCAGTATGACCCAGATTCAAAGATCGGAATTTTTTCTTCACTGTAAAAATGGAATGAGAGAGAAATCTAATTAAAGCAATAATCTTTGCCTGATTAGCAGAAGTTACCAATAAAAAAGGGGGTCAATCGATGAAATTTCGAGCAGAAACTCAAATGCGCCGTCTTGATTGACGTGAAAAGCAGTAAAAAAGGTGGACAGGAAGAAATTTCTTGTGACCGACCCAGAAGAGAGAGAAGATGAAATGAAGCTAGAGAAGGACCAATGGTTCGTGTGATGTGCAAAGTCACAGAGATTGCACAGGGCGAAATCTCCGAAGCTAAAAATGGGAAGAGCCGCAAGATTGGGGAAACATTATACGGTTTCCCACACGCTAACTAAAAGGTAAAGGAGCATTCATTACCCACCAAGAATGCAGAAGGGGTTCGATAAAAAGAGGAACTTTATGGTCTGGAAGAAGAAGATGGGAGGAGCAAAAGGTCATCGAGAAGTGTCCAGTTCCAGGCTGAACATGGGATGGTCCTGAAAGTAACAGAAAAACAGAAGAAATGGTAACTGGGAAGATAGTTCGATTGATGCCAAGCCAAGTAAGCCTCACTGCATCATTGGGTAGATGCACAGAGAGGGGAGAGAGAGAGTGTGCGCGTTTGTGTGTGCGTGTCAGAGTCTGACCACCTATACACATGCAACAACAAAAAAAAAAGACAGACCTGCTCTGGCTCAGCAACCAAAAATGAGACCTGACCCACTATAGATTTCTCTTGGGCTTCAGAATTTCACAGAGAGGGAGAGAGAGAGAGAGAGAGATGCAAAGTACAGTCTTTTGCTTTTTTTCTTTTGTTTTTTGAGGTTTGGCCAATGAAGCAGGATGAACTGTCGAGTTGTCACAGTGACTGGGAAGGAATCTCGGGCAGAGAATTTGATGCTGTTCTCATCGATAACGTATGCCCAAATGAAAAGTCCCTTATTTTTTGTCGTGTATGGTGGAGATTTTTCTCTCTTCTGCTCATATAAAAATGTGAATATTGCTACTGCTTCTGGTTTTGTGTGGTATTGGGAAATTATGGGCATGTGCAGAAGGTAGTGGTGTGGGGTGCGAGCAACAAGGTAGTGGCGTGTCGGCTGGCTCAAAAGACGTCACATCATGAGAGATAATCGAAGCCTCAGTTTGTTCTGCTGTCCCTGTTTCTCTTTCTCTCTCCTTTTTTTCTTCTCTTTCTTTTTTTAATTATTGCTGTTATTATTTCTCTCGAAAATGATCTATGGTGAATAATGTGCCGCATAAGTCTCATCAAAGATGTGCTACAAAGGGAGGAATAGTGCAGAAACATTTCACTGTTTCAGGTGGTGGACCTCAATGGTCCATGTCCTAGAATCACCTGAAAGTAACAACAGAAGGGTATCGAGAATTTTGAGTAAAATGGGGTTGGAAATTGATCATTCACGTTAAGATGTTCCCTGTATTTTTCCTGGTCGAAATCAGATGGACATGTCTGAGTAATGAACCTTGTGGGTAATGCTATGATGATGTCACTTGGAAAATGACAGCAGGATATTTCCAATGGTAATGATAGATGCCATGACCAACCTTAGAGATCATGGGAGGACTTAAACCCTTAAAACTTTGTGATTCAGTGAGGCTTGCCCTTGCTAGTGCCCGGCGAGGTCCTTGCCTCTGGCTTGTTGCGCGACCGGCCAACAGGAAGAAGGAAAAAAAAAACAAAAGAGAATGAAAACAAAGAAAAGAAATAAGAAATAAAAAAATCGAAAAATATTAAAAATATATTAAAATTGTCTACGTTAGCGTCGGCTGTACCACGTAAGACGGTCAACGTCAATGTCAGCGATTTCTGATTAAATTGACCGGATAGACTATATTGACACAAACGTAAAAAGTTCATAACTCAATTATCAAAATAAAAAAGATATATAACTAAATTGGCACAATAATAATATATTTATAACTTTTTTTGATAATTCTCCCCTCAAAACATTGATTAATATTGATTATTTTCGTTTGTATATTTCATTTAATTGAATTTTTATCTTTTCATGCAAAGTGAAAGTACATTTTTCCCTATAAAACGATTCCTTTACTATGAGACACTTAAGATCATCGCACACGCTACTATTCAATGCTTATTTTTAGAAATTTATTTTTCAGTTTTGTCGGATGAGCCCCTCTCATCAGTCTTTGCCTTGACGTTTAACATTATAAGATATTGAAGATAACAATATACAAGTACATTTTGTATATCTAAATACAGATTCATCTTTTCATCTCAATCATTACGTTCACCTCGAATCATCACAGGCTCCAAAACTTGCCGGCACACTTTGTTGGTGACTCATTACCTAATTATGCTTTTGCGTGCGAATCTGATCCAATAAAAACAGCGAACGGTTCCAAATTAATCACTGTTCTGTCTTTTGCCAAAGCACTAATCAATGCAAAGTGGAGCATAGTTAGTGCCAAAGTGGCTGTACTCATTTCTTGTTTTGAAGTATGCCCATAAAGGCACAAAGTCTGCAAATTCTCCCTCGACCTCATTAGCGGAAGCAGCAATCTTATATTCTCCAAGACTAATTCCACTATTGTTAAGCATAATTCCCCCAGCTGACCCTTATTAAATTAGTCTGACCAAATTAAATCCTTGTATCAGAATCATCGTTTTGTCCTTAATTATAAGATCATTAGCAGATCATAATGTATAATTAGCGATAGATGGGGTCCATGTAGCCTGCAATGGAGGATGGCTGGTGTATATTTGACAATGGCATGTTCCATCCACCACATTTGTCCTTGACTTGATTAAACAACTTAGCCTTAATTATTTGGCAATAAGTTGGTAGGAAGGATGGCTTAATTACAACGTGTGAGCTAGCGAAAGGCATCCGGAAACGGCATGAAGACAAAGGGTTACGTTAACATCTGTGCTGTAGTGAACCTAATCAAATGATATTGGTGGCAAGTCACAGGTGATAAATTGACTTATGGCCTGTAAAAAGAAAGATGAAGTTTGACAAAATTGAATAGAGGATGGTAAAGTCAACTGAATGTGTGTTGAGGAATTTTGGGCTACGCCACGAGTGTTGAAGCACTTGGACCCCGTCACTTTTAGAGCTAGGGATGCTCTTCATCTGCAAAGATAGTGTCGTGAGGACGAAGTTGTGTTGCAATTTACAGCGATTAATGTGTGAGAAATCAATTATCAAGTTCTCTTGGCGCGCCATGTCACGTTACTGCCAACTTGTACGTCAACGGTCATTACAATTTGTTTCTTTTGGCTAAGTAACTGGCCTGGTCACTACAATTTATACATGGTAAAACGGAATGTTGCAACGACAATCCATCTTATATTTGAGAACATAGATTGTCATGTTGCTCATACTGTGATGCTTTGATGAAGACAAAAGTGAGGAGATCATGTGGTTATGACTTATAAATCATATGGAATATGAGGGCAAGACCCAAGTCTGTTTTACTAGCTAACATGATTCACCAACAAATGTATCGTTTACTGTTGTGCGCGCGTGTTGAAAATGACTTATTTCCTTGCACAATGCCTCTTTCTGTTTTTTCAAAGAACCAAGACTAATCATCGAATTTGAAAGTGCAACAACCATCAGTGACAACAACATTTCTCGCCAGTGATGACATACTATATACATTCGACACGGATGTGACAACATAAATCAGTTAAGTTCGTCCCCAAATAGATCTAGCTGGTTATGAGAAACCAGTGCGTCCGAAAACATGTTGGCTAAACTCGATGATGTTTTGGCAATCCCACATTTTACTTGTCGCCTTCCCTTCTATTGAGTCACTCCATTTCTATTTTCAAACAAGCTAACTGCTTCTAAGATATGCCACTGCCCCCACATGAAAACGCTGCAACTAATGTGTTGAACCACCCAAGTATGACTTAGTATGCTCATAACCACAAAGGTCAACACCAACTGTCAAGCAAGGAATCACACACATTACTGGAAAAGTCACTGCCTTGAAAAATTAAAATTTTTGTTAACAATAATGTGAATGATCTGATAAGACTTTTGAGCTCCTTCTGCGAGGAAACAAAATGATGTACAGATAATGCCACTCAGAACTACCTAATAGCATACAAACACTAAGTTAAGGATCTGGCCAGTGAGATCTCCACAGATCAACTCAGTGCTTCCATCCTTTCATGTGACCATCCTTCACATATGGCTCTAGAAATCCAATGAACTGAGAGCAAGCAGCCAGATAATGTCAGTACTAAAAGCTCCAGGCCATTGTCGTGAACAAAAGTGTCGCAGCTTCTGCATTAAATATGAGATTTAAATAAAAAGAAAATGTCCTTTTGTTTCTTGTTTCCTGTCCTAGGGCTTTCACTGGCCTATTCCGTGTCAACATTGCAGAGGACAAGGATCATAAGGATGTGGGCACGTCTTTTACCGTATTATTCAAGTCCATTTCACTTATTCTTCCGGTCCGCTGACAGGATTGTCAATGTAATTTTCAGAAATGCAAATGATACTGCTGCAATCTATCCGAGCAGGTTTAAAATAATTGACGCATATATTTGCACAACCAGTAAAAGGGATCATCATAACTAGAAATGTTTGCTCAAGGCGTGTACCTTAGCGCCATCCTCTGACCACCGTGCACCATAACCGCTAACATCCCTTATCTCAAACACAACTCCATGTGGTGGAACAGCATGCAAATTCTGCCATTGACAGGTTGCAACTAAGCGGCTGATTACATCCTTTGCTAGATTATTTTTACATAAATCTGAAGAAAAAAGCTCAGAGATCAGTAACGAATGAAGCAATGGTCAGGAGGAAATTGTAAGCTGATCATTTTGAGAGGTAGGTGATCACAGACGTGCTTAAATTCCACGACAATATGATTTCTGTTTTGAGGTAACTAATTACTTGATGTGCACTGGAAAGTTTATATTTCAGCTTTTAAACAACCAAATTATTCTTCTTCAACAGAAATGTTTTGAGGGCACATAGATGAAGTTAACTAATAGAGTTTATGTTCAGAAACCAGAGTTTGCCAGGAAAATATCATTACAGCTGGAGTGGAAAAAGTCAATTCGGCAGCAATAAAGCATGAGAAGCAAGCCGAAATTCTCACCGCTCCCTATGAAATTCCCCCAATACTTGTCACTACTCCTATTGACATGCTTTGCCAAAGCCCTGGCTCCATCAGTTAAGGTGCTACCTTTAACCTCGTATGGTAAAGGAGAAAGCTCTTCAGAAGATCAAATTCAACGAATTTCTACTTGATAAAAAAGGCCTTGTAATTATTCAGCAGAGCAACGTAGAACACTTGAATGAGACATTATAAAGTAATATATGTACATAAGGTAGAAATTTCACATTAACCTCATGTGATTTGTTTACCATACACCTACATGTAATATTCATCTACTTGAAATTATGTCGTTTGATCAGCATCTTGCAAATCTCTCACTACACAGCAGAAAAGGAATTATATTCTACCAAACGAATGGATTTTATCCATGAAATCATGGAAGAAATATAGTACTCATTAAAATATAATTAGTGACCTCATGAATCCCTGCGGTAAGTACAATTAAATTATATCTAGGGACCCCACTAGCAGATCCTAGCTTTCAGGCCTCTGTTTAAGTCTCTAGAAACATATATAGGACGGAGTAAGCATTATGAGCAAAGCGAAAGTCCCATTACATGTCAAATCCTGCCTGACCTTATTCATCGAAAAGCTGTACTCTAAACAGGACAGGTAAAAGAGACAAAAGTCAGAGCACCATAATCATACATTTGGATTGTAAGGCAGCTGAAATGCGGACAGCAGAGCAGATCTAGGTGGAGGAAGTGACTCAGGAACTGTCCCCGCAATATGAACGAGACCTAGAAGTTTTTGAACACCCTTAGAAGTCAATCCCTGTGTCAAGACAATTACATCATTACCAATTTTGGCACCAAAATGCTCTAAGTTTGTATATCATAAGGGAGACAGATGTAAGATCTGGAGATTTCCATCACCAGCTTCCAATAAAGTATAGAAATACAAGGATTGTAGTCATACACACTCATGTCAAGTCAAAGGGCTAGTGACATCTGAAAAGATTGCCCGTCAACAGAAGTGTAAAGTGATAATGATATTATACATTTGACGATCTATTCCAGAATCACATCACAAGATCGATGAACAATTGAAATGAATTTGATGATGTATTGTCGCTATTTAATATAAAATGTGAAGTGCAGAATCCGTCTTCCTCAACCATGAACGCCCAAGAATGAACTACAAGTCCACAAAAGAAAACCCACGGTTGGATGTACAATCCAGATAATTGAAGGATGGTTCTACAACTTCGCCGATGGTTGTGAAAAATTGCATCAAAAGATCTGGTCATCAGTATATTATGAATGACTAAATCAAATTCTTGGACAGAAGCCAGCATTTCTTGGACTGAAGCCCAGCATTATGAATGATCCACCTAAGCCATGGTCTGCTGCAAGGGATATTTCAAGACCAACAGACTATTTAATAGATGAACTTGCGTGCTTCCTCAGGAATCAATTTGTCTAGTTGATCCTTCAAAAAGGTTATTTAGGAGGGTGAATAGGTTTAGCTGCATTAATGCATCACGAACTTTGGATTTTTGGATTCTTATTTTGGCTAACTAATGAGTTGCATATTCTTTGGCTTGTCCTCATCGGTGGGGCTGAATTTCAAAATCTTTCTGGGCTTTTTTTTTCCTCTTCAATAGTTTGTTTTATCTTTGTAAACATAAAAAAGTATTATTAAGAAAGTACCAGGAGGCACAGCTCCCATACAAAACAGCCTCAGATTTAAAGCCACCTATCCGCAAAGATATGGATAAAAGACCATTTCTAAAATATCCAACAAACTATGAGTATGAAATCGAACTCCGCACTATGCCCAAGGTGAAGGATGTATAACCAATTGTGCCCAGGAGAAACGCAAGACGATCTAGCTCCTTGAAATGCGCTCTAGTTTCTTTCTCTTCAAATGAACCAAAAGACAAGAAAGGTATTATCTAAGCAACTCTCTTCTTTCCAACACAAGAATTAATGGTACCTCTCCAAGCCCAAATTGACAATGCAAGACCAAAGCAAATTTACTTACAGAAATTATTCTAGCCAAAGAGATGTAGGGCTGATCAACCAATCTGGAGACACCAATTGCAAGAACACCATTAGACTTTTCTTTCTCTTCAGTGTAAAACTTCCTATAAACTTGAACACCTGAAAGTAGCTGCAACACATTATACGCAGCCTAAAAGATAACAGCAAGATCATGTCAAAATGGGGGGTTAATACTTAGTCCCCCAAAACAAGTCATACAATTGTCTTTCTCATGAAACATCACAAAAAGAGCATGAATTATTCCATAAGAACTCTCTATTTATCCCACGTCAACAACACCGAAATATACAATTTGTTCAGAAGCAAAATATTCAAAGGTAGACTCTCATTAGAATTTTTAGATGGGTATTAAGTGATAGATCATGTTTCTTAACCTCTCATTTTGTCATACTAGATGAACAAGAACGACTTTTAGTTTACTAAATTACAGTAAAATAATGAGCGACTTCTGCATATTATTCGTTGACAGACATTTGGCACAGCAATCCTGCATTTTGATCACTGGTAGAGTAAATACTGTCACTGCATACTATCCAGTCAGGGAACTTGATGAATCACTGAGGTGCCAAATTGGTGTCTAGATACTTCCATGAAATTGAACCGTAACATGTGACAAAAGACTAAAAAGACATGCATACCAGTGGAAGAATTCGATTTGTATATATGTATATCACTGCCTTGCTGAAGACACCTAGCACCAGTTCAATCTCCAACTCATTGGCCATTTCTCCTTTTTCAATTAGGAAACTGGTCATGGGATGTACTTTAAACTCCAGTGCCACAACGGCAACGGAAATAGTGTCAAGCATCGGCATGGGGAATAGGCACTTAATTCCAACAAATGCAGAAGACACGCAAAAACCGCAAGGCAAAGCAGAAGACATCAGGATATAGGAGGTGAAAATCCAATTGCAGTCTAGTACCTTCATCGACCGAATTAACACCAGGAAGAACTTTACTCAGACTTTCTGCACCCAACATCTCAAAAAAGGAAGCATACCAATGAACATCCTGCAACTTAAAATGTTATAGACGTGTTGCCCAAAGTACCATGACTGTACGTTCACAAAAGATCATCACCTGAACCTCAAGAACCAAACATTTGTTGAACAGAATCAAGTCCGCTGACACAATGCTGAAGATATAGCTATGTAAGCAACTCAAAGATGTTAATTCGCCCAAACACATGATTAAAAGGCAGAACAGAAAACACAGCTACACATTGGAAAAAACAACAAAAGAAAGGCTAACGCCAAGAATACCCTTGTTAATATCCATGTCCATAAGAAATTACACATACCGTTTATAATTTCCATGAGCACACCTTCCTTCAATTGTTTTCAGCCCATCTGAAAATAATATCAAATTCATGATAAAGAAAGGCACTCCTAATGCATCATTATTCCGGGTTTACTTGGGAATATACAACTATAACAACAATGTGATCATAGAAATGATACAGTTTTTTAAAGGCAAGAATTAGAGTTGGAAGGGCACCTCTAAGTTGAGTAAAATAAGGCTCCTGCGCATGAAGTTCAAATTTTATGCTCTTCAAAATCTGTAGATATACAGCATTAGATCAGTACAAAAGGATTAGATTCCGACTCTGGCCTTGAGACATATCTTTGATACAAAATAGTAACTCCCAACGCATGAAAAAGATGCGTACATTCAGCAATTCAGCTCCCTTGCATGAAATCAATTGGTCTAGCACTTCCTTATCGTGTATGTCATCCTCTTGATTAAACCATGCTGGTGACTCGTGCCTCGGAAATGACACTCCAGATGATATAGCTTCCTCCAAAGCTGAAGCTAGACGCTTGTATAAAGGATATGCAGGCACACCTTGACAGCTTTCTGCATAATGTCGATTCCACAGATTAAAAAAAAAAAAAAAACTGATTCTGCCGAAGATACGAGCGTACCCATAAACCATGTTACAGTGGACGTGGAAACAAATTCAGCACTTTTTTACAAGACATTGCATGAGTCTCACTATTATAAATGAAGTCTCTTCCATTCTGATTCAGAGGAGAGAGGATGCTCATGGTCCTCAAGCGGGTGTCTTTTTTTTCAACCTTTTCTGCTGCACTGTCAACTTTTACATATTCAACTTTCATCTAAGGGTAAGATTTATCAAATCTTGAACAGCCAAACACCTAAAGATTGAAACTTCAACATTCTCTTCATCAACTTCTGCAACACCGGCCACGACGAAGGCCATCGAGGGAAGCGAGCGCGATCAAAACCAAAAGCGATAGCGTGAATCGGCACCTGAGGAAGGAGACGGCGACGACGAAGGGTGGTGATCGTGCGGTGGGTCGTCTCTGAGAAGAGCGGAGCAGAACTCCACGGAGAGGCCGAGATCGAAAGCGAGGTTCAGGGTCCCGTCGACGCGAGACTGGAGGGTGAACCTCAAGAGCTCGGCGATGCAGTGTCTCAGCTCCACTGGGCTCGATCCTGGCGACGACGCTCCTGAGCTCGCCATTTCTGCACTGCAACTGCTGCACCAGAGAGAACCCAGAGAAGCACTAAGCTCTCCAGGTTCCACGGGAAAATCGGTCAAAACGTATTACGGCTTACTGTACCTTTTGCCAAATTCAATCATAAACATCTTTCCTCATTTTGTCAATTGAATTCACATACGTGACGCAAGAAATTTTTAAGAATATATTTTTATTCTTTTTTCCATTTTTTTTCTTTCTCCTTTGCCCTTTTTTCGGTGACCGGTGATGCAAGGATCATCATCACCACAGGCGAGGGTCAGTCGTCGTCGCCACAGGCGAGGGCGGGGCTCGCCTTCCTCGTCAAGGGTCAGCCTCGCCCAAGCTAGATCTGGCAAGGCCGCTCACCCATGCCCAGTCGGGCCTTGCCTATGGCGGGCGACGGCAATCTTCGCCCAAGCAAGGCCCGTCCGCCTGGTCATAGCCAGTGACTGGTGACTGGTAAAAAGAAGGAAAAAAAAATCATATGGATAATAAAAAAAATTTTAAAAAATTAAAATATTATTGTTGTCCAGGCATATGATGTTGAAATTAATCATTGCCACCACGGAACGAAAAACACTGAATTATATCTTGGATTATTGCTCTAAATTTGATAATTTATGTGGATCTGATTTTTCCGGACCATATTCGTAGCTGATTTCCATATATACGTCGTCGGCGTCGATTTTGCCAGAGCCGAAGACCGAGAAATTTCGATGGACTGTTTTACGAGATAGGACTTGGTTGTAAAAATGAAGGGAAGTAAGATACATAACTAGAGAAAGTCAAAATTCAATGAAATGAAACCAATGTTCATCTTGACAAATTCCATTGCTTTCCAATTGCTTATAAAATGTAAAATTACATTTGAATTCTATGGCGGGGTTGAATCCCCTGATCGACATTTTCCCTATATTTTCTTTAAAGAAAAACAAAGAAAAAAAGATCATATTTCCCTATCTAAAAGAATTCAAGTCTTTGCTCATGCTTCTTTCCTGGGGAGATACCAGCGACTGTTCACCTCGAAGCTGTGTAACAGTCTCGGATCTCTCTCTCTCTATCTCTCTATACAGTTGACATGCTTAATCCTATAACCCGGGTTCTCGGAATTCGCTTGCGCGTTTCCATTCCGACATTTCCTGCCCGAAAAATCGAACTACGAATTCCAAACATTCCCTAGACAGAGCCATATTCGACATTGTCCTGGAATTCTTTAGTTTTCACAGGTTCCTGCGGATCCGGTGCTGTGGAGTGAGGCTTCACCGAACCGTTGGGATGTCGATGTTCCTCATCCTGGATCGCCTTTGCGGTCCATATCAGAACCAAGAACATCATGATCACCGAAAGGAACGCAAGGGATGCCCAGACCATCCGGGCGTACCTATTTAGCGGCCCGCAATGTTTGGTTAGGATCTGTGAGAATGCGTCTTTCACCGATTGGCATTCAATCAGGCTCTCCATGCCCGGGTAAGCATCTAGCAGGCTCTGGATTGAGCTCGTGTAGGCCTCGACCATCTTGTACTTGCTGGCGGATAAGTACTGGCTGCCGGCGCAGTTACCATCATTGGGGTCAGAACAAGTGAAAATCTTCAATACCTTCATGGGGACCGGGAAAAATAAAAGAATCAGAGAAATCCATAGTCATGGACAGCGGAATGTCCAAGTTTCCAAGCATATATGCCTAGTGTAACACTGCGCATACCTTTGGGATGTCTCCTATTCGAATTGAGTTGCCAGGGCATTTATCCGGCTGGTACTCATATTCGGGTGGTGGCGAGAACGGGTTGCAGACGTACATGATATTCGGGAACGATGTCGCCTGAAGATATGATATGTTTGCATTCACCTGTAGGTGCATTTTTTTTTTCAATTTTTAGTTGTAATCTGATGCTTTACATCGACAAAAGGCAGTGTGATCGATTTACTCATGTTGCACAAATTTTGTACCTTGTTGACCATGTCGTAGATTCCTGCACTGACATCCGAGAGAATGGACTTTGCCGAGAGCAGTTCGTCACAGGGGAGGATTGAGCTCAAGCTGTTGTTGTTCGGATCTTGTTGGAAGTCGTCCAGAACTGTGCATGTATCGCTCGAGAACCTGCACAAGAAAGAGGAAATTCTCTCAATATGTTGCTGCACTATAGGAAGAACCTCTACTTCGTTTTTCATTTCAATTTTGTGATAAGAGAAGGTCATATACGAGAAGCGCCATAATAACTCGGAGCGCATTACTTGTTTAAGAAGAAATACAACCCGAAGAAGATCCAGCAGAGGACTGTCAATAGCCAACATAATGCAATCAACCTGTCCAGAGAAAAGAAGAGGAAAGCCACATTTTTTAGATCCACGAGGATCTTTCAAGCATACACAGGGAATGGCTGTTTGATGTCGGATAGCCAATTTCTTACCAGTAAAGCAGCCGCCGTAGTCTTAAAAACCCAGAAACTGCATCAAGAGGGATGAAATGAAACCATGATCAGTTAATACTCTTTCATGGGGTAAGAAGAACTGTAATAGTCAGATTTTCATCGGATTCCAATTTTCGTTTTGATCGATTTAAGGCAAGATTTATGTTTTCATCAGAAGATTCAAACTCGATTGTCAAAGACATAAGCTTGTGAGACCTTGACTGTGTACCTGACAGAGCTATAACCGCGACCAAGTTCAAGCATATGGTCACTGTGGTTACTATGTACCTGTAAACAGAACAAGCTTGTCACAAAATGGCTTCGGAAGATCTGGGGAAGACAGAAGTTGGGATTACTTACACTATCTCTAAGCCCTTGTCGATCAATCGCCGGTTCTTCCTAGCCTGTCTTCGGATATCGGCAGCCTCAGAGTCCAGTTTCTCGGACGTGGTCGTGAGGAAGCTAGAGGTATATGCACTTCCGTTAGACACTTCTAAAGTGTCCTTGATGTCCCTCATCGCTCCTGTGGTGTTGTGTATCTTTTCTGATGCATCGTCTGCTGTATCGATGATTATGCTCACTACAGTCTTCGCCCTTGAATGGAATTTAGCATTGGCCCCAAGCACTAACCCGACCGCCACTCTGCACAAATTCGGATTCATGAATTCCAGATTCATTCTAACAAAAAATTGTTGTGCTTTTCATGCGACTTACATTGCTAAGACCATGTAGACGAAGGCAATTAGAACAGGCCACAAAGGGCATAGCTTGTGGCACTGTGATCTCTTCTGAAGTTCTCTGCAATTTTCTGCACTCCCACGTAATCTGACCAAAAGCGTGTAAAACCCAAATGCTACTCCAATCAGAAGCCACAACATTGCGATAGTGTATCCATAAACTCCGGTAAATATTGTCGACTGCATGTGTAAGGACCAAATTGTCGTCAGCACCACATTTATGGCAAGCGCATGTGAGAGAGAGAGACAGAGAGACAGAGACAGAGAGGCTTACACTCCAATAGTGCTTGTTGGTGAGGTTATATCCTCCTCTATATTTCTTGAAATTGTCAAGCGGATCAACTCTATCGGTGTTGTCACCCGAGTACTTTGAGGTATCAGAAGCATTGTCAACCTGAAGGAGACGTCTCCCTGAGAAGAAAAACAGAAAGTTTTGAACATAGAAATGTTGCCTGTGCTGGAGATTCCAAAAAACAAAGAGATGATACCAATTTACACAATCATTTAAATGAAATCAACTCAAGTTGGCACGGAAATGGAAAACTTTGGAGCTAAAGAATTCACGACACTGAATATCGAGAAATTTCTTGTAACTTGGTTTTGCACATATCTGCCACTCAATTTGCTGTTTGGTTCATATTTACAAAGGGATAGGGATGGTAACTCAGTGGGATGTGCACTGTGGATCGCTTACGCCGCCCTCCACTGGTGTTTCACTCACCTCATGCCTGTACCTGCCAGTCGTCCAATTCCTAGGCCCCGAGCGGGGCATTATATCTACACAGGACAGGTCAAGGACTCGACGCCTCGCGCCCCCTCTCTCTCTCTTGCTCTCTCTCTGGCCAAAACTTTTTTTTCCAAGCCAATAACATGGAGAGAAGAACTCTTTATTTCATTGGTATTCCTTATTACCGATAACAGAGTTGAAAAGGCACATGTTGATCGGTGATCACTCACCTGGTGCACGACCGTGAGATGACAATGTGTTCTCTGCAATAACTTTCCAGCCGACTCCGAAGATCACGATCAGCAAAAGAATAGGGAGGACAGCTTGTCTGCGACTTCTGGTGCCCATTCCTACTTGAAACCTGTGAAAACAGAAGATAAACAACAAACCATGAAGATTGCCTACAGAAATCTCACAACTCTCATGTTAACAAAATCCAATGTGGGCTATCACTCCATAACAAATCCTTTACCCATAAAAGAAAAAAACTCGTATCAATTCCTCTAGGAATGATCATTCCATGCAGACTCTGTAACAAAAGTTCATCGGTGAAAGAGAGAGAGAGAGAGAGAGAGATGGGTTGGGCAAGAGGCTTGAGGTTCATATGTGCAAGTAGAGTTGCAAGCAAGTAAAGCACAAAACTCATGCGTCCAATCTTCCAATAAATGGCATCATCCTATCACACCTAAAGGAAAAAAAGTGGAGACATTCAGTTTCAATGTGAAAGATACTGGCATTCGTCTCTTTTTGGGCTTTATAAATCAATGACAAACCAAGGATGCCTTTCCTAAAAGCAGATAAATTCTTCCTGTTGCTACCAGATTGTTCCCACATGGACACGAAGGCTTCGCCTTTCTTTTCCATTTCGTTTTTTTCTTTGGTTTGGAGATTCTTGAAACAAGGACTTGGAATGAGGATGAATGTGATCATTCAATGAACTGATTGAAATATTACTAACCAGAGCTGAAAAAAAGAGCGGACGGATTTCTCAACATCCAAAGCAACGCGAAAAGCCGGCAAAACTATATCCGTTCAGAGTCGGGTTCTCTGCATCTTCTTCGAGAATAATCCTCTGTTCTTGATCAGCTTCACCTTCTTCTTAATCTACAGCATAACGCCCTCGAAATCAGCAGCAAAATCTCGTTGTCCGTCTCCAGTCTCGACATGTTCATACGTGAAGAGAGGCATCTATATATCAGCCCCCCCACCGTGACTCAAGGCTGTCCGAATCCAATCCTAATTCCAATTCTTCTGCAACTTATATAATGATAAAACAGAGAGAGAGGTGGACCCAAGTCAATAATCTCAACCGAAACACCGTCAAAAAAACTCCCACTTCTTTTTGTTAAGTTATAAAATGAATCCCGTTTCCTTTTATAATGGTTTAATAACTTAGAGATCTCGGGTTCGAATCCTTTTACCTTTTTCATCAATTTATATACTTTTTACGTTCGGTCACCCGTGTGGCACAATTAGTTTGCCGCCGGGCCCCAAAAGTAGACGGTCGCGCGCTCAACTTTAGACATACATCAGATGAATGTCATTCGTGTAGGTCTCTCTTTTCTCCTTTTTTCATTTCTCGTTTTTCAATCACACGACGTCGACTCGAATTCGGAAGCGGGTCGCCATTCCAGGCAGGGGGGGCGACGAAGGAATTGATAATCAATTTCCCCTTCAATACTTCAGGACCAACGAAACGTGTCAAACACTTCTTTTTATTTGTGTAGACGGAGAGTGGTTTGTTTTTCCCAAACTTAATCCAATTCTCCACAGCAACAACAACTCCAAGGTTTTGTGAAGTCCAACCGAAGGAGGCATCCATTCGACTGCAATGATGCCATTTCATGTCTGAAAACGATGCAGTCTAATTCCAACTAAACTTCGACCAAAAAAAAATAAAATTCCAACTAAAACTGCCCATGCTGCAGATTCCACCGCACTTCTGGTCAAAAAAAATCAAATTATTAAATATAGGGAATTCCTAGTCAAAGCTTATGACTTTATGCCGTTCTTCCGTCTTCGTTCCCGAGTTCTGTGACGAATTTTTCAACGTGGAGATCACGAGTCTTCACGTCTCGAATCAGAGCACGAATTGCTGAGAAAAATGACGACAGAAGATGGGAAAAACAGGGGAGAAATAGCAGAGTGAATTGGACACGGTTTCTCTGGCTTTTGGGAAAGCAGGAGAGAGTCAAAAAGAGACCACAAAAATTGAGACAAAACCCACTTTTGGTCGTTGATGTCCGTCGTTAATTACAAGTATCTCGTGCTTAATTAGTCCATGGTCAATAGTTTGCTACTTTATACACGAATACATTTCGTGCTTCTAGACGTACCCTTTTTATTTTATCCGGAGAAACACCATAAAAAATCCGGAAACCGTGCCCGCTATAACATCAATACCTCAAACTTTTTTTTTTTTTTGCATCACCAGAACCTTGAACTTGTACTGACTTGCCAAAGAACATAATTTAGGGTTTTCAGCAATACGAAAGAAAGTTTGGATATAGACGTCATAGTGGGTATAATTTAGAGTTTTTAAATGGAATTACCTTATTTTTTTAACACGTTACGACCTACCTAATTCAAAATATGATTTCGTCGATTATTACGAGAATGGGTTTATAATAAACGAGTAACAAGAATCTGAAAGAGAGAAAACATAAAGTGGAAAGAAACTAACGAGGCTAATAGCTGGTAACGACGATTTATATTATCTCATCTAAAATCGGCAATTGAGGCACTTATCCTACGATAAATAAGTTGTCAATTTTAGTATTTTAGGGATTTTCTTTTCCAAAGGGAGATAGAAAATCTAATGCATTATCAGTAAAATAGAAATAAAAGGAAAGCCAAATTATAATTAATTAAGGAAGCCTCTACGTGGAAGGTGAGCGTATAGCCTAACTACTACACATGCAATTGGCACAACATTTTGCCGCCAAACATCAAGAGGTGGGGCCCATCAATTATACTCCTAACTATGCCTATGAATAACTTCGATTAGGAAAACTTTAGTGGTCCAATTTTTTTTTTTTAAAGATAAAGACACTATCGTTGTCACATTCACACCATGATTCGATTAAGGTTAACAAATGTGACTATGTAGGCAAAATTTTTGTAATTTCATTTTCTATTGGGTGGCAAAAATTTGAGCTATAGCTATAGGTTTTTGGCATGTGAGGTTGAGATCGTTTGAGAAAAATTTGTCATTGATTAGGCCTACTCGTTCGTGTCCGATCGACGTCCTAAATTTGAGCGCGCGGTCCTTCGCTAAAGAAAATTGAACTATACTAAACGAGGTTACACAATTTCGTACACATCTCGATTACTCTATTTCACAAGGATATATACCAGAGTAGTCCTAAGCCCTATTATACGGATGTCAACTTCCTAAACTTTCCTATTTGACCAATGTAGTTTAGAATTTTTTGTATGAAATTTCAGTGTAGTCCTTGGGTCGAACTTTGGCTTGGAATCACCGACATAGTATCCAGTCATCGCCGACCGTCCTACGTGGCGAACTAACGTGGACAACTTCACTCGAAATGACGCAATGCATGGACTACAACATAAGCAATTGGTTGAAAGATTACATTAAACTTTCGTACAAAAATTTAGAATATGTCGATAAGATTGGAAAGTTTAGAATTGAATTGTCATTTGTACAATAAGTTTAACTCAACATGCAATTGCTCCACTTCGACTTTTGGTGGGCTAGTCGGGACCAAGAAAACAAGAGACTTGACTATTCGAGCTGGTAGCTGCCCAAGTTGTGTTGCCAATTTTTCTCCCCAGGAATTTATTGCTCGGGAAAATTATGGATAAAATTAGAGACAATTGGTGTCAGCCATAATTAGTTGAAAGATATATTTTTGTTGCTCTCTTTCATATATAATTTTCTCAGAACATGAAATTTTATTTTTTTCCGAGTACAACTCAATTGAGTTAAACATATCGAATTGGGGCTCGTGCAATTAATAGCAACATGAGTAATTAATTGCGCGCATCAAGCTGTTGGAAATTGGAGCAGAAAGTCCAATTAACACCATCATGATTACCCAAATCTATGTCCAGCTAATGGTCAAGCGAAGATAAATTAACTAATTTTTTTTTTCTGTTTAAAAGATGAATTAATTCATAATTCCATGTATAATTACCAAAAGATATCCAAAATCTGCAATTTTTTTCTCATTTTTACGGTAGAAATTTTGGTGTGTAGTGGGTAGAGTGTAGCATAGCCAACCTTTCTTCCTTACGGATTAAGGAAACAAGCAAGAAAAGGGAGAAGCTTCCTTTTCCCCAGGCTGCTAAAAAGTAAGAAGCCAAGCACTATCTTATGAAAAAGAGAAAGAGCAAAAGGAAAAAGAAAAGTAGACAGCAGCCCACGAGAAATTCTTGTTAGAAGATGACAGGAGTTAGATTGATCCGCCTAATTGTGTTTACCGTTGACCACAAAGGGCTTTTTTGTTGTTTGATAGTTTGACTCTTGAGCTCAGTTCTTACAATCTGACCATTGTCATTGCCCATATTGACCTTAACTTTATACCACAGCAGCTTAATTGATATATGCTTGACCTGAAAATTAGGTAATTATGCATAGACATGACAAGAGTAGTTACGTATGTGTCACATCCCGAATCCTCCTAGAATAGAGGAGTGACACGGCCGTTTTTTCTCTCAAAGGACGCAGCTTCTAACGACCCAAATCCAACTCTCAAAAGTCCCCGTTGAAATCGCTCTCGCTCTACGGCCACTAACTAAGGAACTTGACAAGATTGGAAAGGAAAGATATGTGACATTTATGGTATCAGAGCGAGACCCCCAGCATTAGGTGTGTGGTTCGGGGATGAACCAGGCGGAAGTTAATGGGCATGTAACAACTCGGTTCGACGAGGGCGGGGAGTGATTACCAGGGCCAGAGGGCTTGGACAAGGAGTGGCTCCCGACAGAATTTTAGGATGACGAAGTGAGCAGGAATAAACTAAATTGTGCACAAAACAAGAGGAGAGCGAATATGAGAGATGTGTGTGTGTGTGTGAAAAATGGAATTAACTCATGGATGCGCCTTTTGACGTAACGGCAAGTTTTGTTTTGGAACTCTAAAATTAAGCAAGCCTAGGCTAGAGCACTATCATGATGAGTGACCTTTTGGGAAAGTGCCTACTTATATGCCAAAAGACAAAACTGTGAGACTTGATATGGGAGTGAGTTAATCCAGCAATGTTACAGTATAAACTCGGGTAATTTAGGAAGTCTAAAAGTGAGAAAGAGAGATAGAAACTAGAAAGTAAAATGGTTATTTATGAAATGCGTAGGCATGAGAGAAAGAGAGGGAGGGTTGGGGATCTACGGGTGAGACGAAATAATGTTTTGGCTTAATAATATACACGCATTGAGTGTATGCAAAAAGAAAATTAATATTTAATAAATTTTGTAGAATAGCTTATTATGAGATATCCGAATTATTAATTAATGGTAATAAATTATAAACAAAATAAAAGTTGTACACATAGATGTGTAAAGAGATAACATTTCGAGATTTGAACTTTATTGTGGCAGGTTGTTTATAAGATAGAAATGATTCAAATTGTAAATTGAAATGCGAATGAGATGAAATAAAATCATAAATTTAGACGCTTGTCCCATCGACAAAATACATACAAAACAAATAGTTGAGAATATTTTGGAAAGGAAAAGAAAAGATTGTGATCCCTTAAATAAGTATTAGACCCCTCGAGAAGGTTCATCGAGCTTTTATTATCATCATTAGTGACGCATAGATTTAAATAATCGAGCGCCTCTCATATCACTATATTGCGAGAACGACAATATTTCCCGTGTCTTCATCAATATGCATATCATACCCTAGTAATGTTGATCCATATTATCGACATGCTTTTCCAGGATACATATGCGTGTAAACTCTTTACCCCAAGCAGAGAATCGAATTATTTGGACACATGGTTCTTTGAAGACCCAAGTTACGAGTCCTTTTTCTTTTTGGTAAAAGTCATGAATCCATTCCAAAAGCACACGCCCAACTTCACAAAAGCCATCAGCCAAAAATCATAGACAATTCAATGAGGAATTGTTCATGATCTCTTTTAGGAATTGTCTAAAAGAGACCATGAACACGACAATTTAGACGGTTTTCGCAACAATTTTAGAGGGCTTCCATAGATTTCGCCGGCTGTTATGTATTCCCATTGCACATGCTCCATTATGGCCCAACTCATTTTTTCTAAGTGACCACCAGAAGAGGATAGTTGTTTCTTTTCCTACTACA